TGGCCAGGGCCGGGTTTGAACCTGCCACCCTCCATATATGGGGCTGGCGTCCTACTCACTGAGCCATTGGCGCCGCCCAGTAGTCAGTTTCTAAATCTTTGTTTTAGTTGGCATTTCAGTCGCATCTGATTAAGTTATTTTCCTCTCAAAACACTTTTTTTTCCCACTTGGTTTTTTGGGTACGACTGTCTCCAGGTCCTACTCCAGCCTCGCTGTCTGTTACTTTCCTAATTCCATTGCTGCTTTCATTTCCCCAATCTCTAAACATTGGGAGTATCCCAAGGCTTGCTCTTCTTCTGTGTCCGTGCCACACTCTGAGTGATCTACTCTAATTCAGTGTGTTTTAGATACCACTTACATGATGAGGACACCCACATTTACACTCCAGACTGGACCTCTTCCCTGAATTCCACATTAATCAAACTATCTACTAGACAGACACCTACTAGTAGACATCTCAAACTTAACATGCCCTAAAAGTCCTTTTTGTTTCATTTCCAGCTTGTTGGTATCATCGAGTTTTTCCTAGCTCAGTAAATGACACTTCTGTTTTTTTAGTTGCTTAGACCAAAAAGCCTTGAGAACTCTTTCCTTTCATGCCCCACATTTAATCCATTAGCATTTCATGTCAGACCTACCTTTTAAATATTTTTGACAACCACATCACTGTCCCAGTAGTCCTAGCCAACATTATCTTTTGCCTAGATAGTTGAATAGCCTGCTAACTGGTCTCTCTGCTTGTACCCATACATAATTGTTCATACAGCCATTGGAGTGAACTTTTTAAAAAAATTTAAGTCTGGATAGGTATGGTGGCTCATGCCTGTAATCCTAGCACTTGGGAAGCTGAAGCAGGTGGATTACTTGAGCTCAGAAGTTCAAGACCAGCCTGAGTAAGAGTGAGACCCTGTCTCTTAAAAAATACCCGGATGTTATGGCGTGTGCCTGTAATCCCAGCTACTTGGGAGGCTGAGGCAAGAGAATCGCTTAAGTCCCAGAATTTGAGGTTGCTGTGAGCTATGATGCTATAGCACTCTACCAAGGGCAACAAAGTGAGACTCTGTCTCAAAAATATATATAAATAAAAATTTAAGTCAGATCATAATACTTAATGACTCAGATCCTAGACAACTTAGAAGACTGACGCTACCTGACTGTAAAACTTATAGTAAAGCTACATTACTCAAGACAGTGTGGTATTGGTGAAAGAATGGGCAAATACATCAATGGAACAGAGCAGAGTCCAACATGGCAGGTTACAATCCCAGTTCTTCTCCTTGCTAGCTGTGAAATTTCAAGCAAATTACTTTACTTTTCTTCATTTGTAAAATAATTCTTTTCTTTGTAGGTTGGTATGAAGATTAAAAGAGATAATGCATGTAAAAACACCTAACACATTGCCTAAGACATCATAAGAACTTGATAAATTTTAGCTATTGCACATTTTCTAATGATCTTGACAAGATTGACACAAAGAGACAGGTCAGGTAGTATCCCCATTTCATAGATCACGAAACAAATACAAGGACATTAAGTAGTTGTTGAAGGTCACATGATTAAATAATAGGCAGAGCCAAAACTGTGGCCTAGTACAAAATTTCTACAGTTCTTGCCTATCTCATACTAGGATACCAGGAAAGATTATGCCCTCAAAGAAGTTTTTTTTTAAATATAAGAAAGCAAAATTTAAAAACAAATGATTCAGATCCACACTGAATGAAAAGTTATTGTTAACCTCATTTTTATTCCTAATGCTAATTCATGCTTTTGGTATATCGCTGAATTAAATGTAACATTTTCTTAGGAATTTTGGGTGTATCTTCATTAATGGATTTACCCTATGATTTTACTTTTTCATAATGTTTTGATTAGGTTTAGTACCTGAGTTTTTCTGGCATCTCGAATTGGGGTATATTTACTTTTTTCCTGTTCTCTAGCAGCCTTTGTATAATGTTGATTTTTTTTTCCTTAAATGCTTGGTATAATTCGCTAGTGAAACTATCTGCATCTGTAATCTTTGTGTGTGTGGAAAAAATAATTTTTTTTTTTTGAGACAGAGTCTCATTTGGTCACCCTTGGTAGAGTGCTGTGGCATCTTAGCTCACAGCAACCTCAAACTATTGGGTTCAAATGATTCTCTTGCCTCGGCCTCCCAGACAGCTGGGACTACAGGCACGTGCCACAGCGCCCAGCTATTTTTTAGAGACAGGGTCTTACTCTTGCTCAGGTTGGTCTTGAATTCGTGAGTTCAGGCAATCCACCCACCTCAGCCACCCAAGTGCTAGGATTACAGGTAAGCCAATGCCACGCCCAGCCTGGAGATATTTTTAATTGTGAATTTTATTCAAAAAGTAATAGAATTTTTCAGATTTTTTAAAATGTAAATTTAAGTTTATTCAGATAATAGTTACTAGTTTATTGATTTATTATTTGAACTTTAATTAACAAAGCTCCAACATTTTGAGCTTTAAAAATGTAATGCTAGCATCATGTAGGTTTTTAAAAGACATTATGGCAAAATACACCACTAAATTTATAATCTTAATCATTTTTAAGTATACATTTCAGTAGTGTTTAGTACATTTACATTGTTATTCAAGCAGTCTGCAGTCATCTTGAAAAAGTAAGACAATACCTGTTAACCAAATCCCCCTTGGCCCACCACCTCCACCCCCAACTTCTACTTTGTGTTTCTTATGAAATTGAGGACTCTAGGAACCTCATATAAGTGGAGTAATAACACTGTCTTTTTGTGACTGGTTTATTTCAACATAATGTCTTCAGGGTTTATCCATATTGTAGCATTTGTCAGAATTTCTTTTTTAAGGCTGAATGATAGTCGTGTATGTGTGTGTGTTTTGTTTAACCATTTATCCATCAGTGGACACATAGGTTTCTTATACCTTTTGACTGTTGTGACTAATACTGCCATGAATGTGTGTGAACAAATAACTCTTTGTTTAATTCTTTCTGCTTTCAATTTTTATGCGTTTATACTTAGAAGTAGAATTGCTAGGCTTGGTGCCCATAGCTCAGTGGTTAGGGCACCAACCACATAACACTGGGGCAAGGATGGCAAGTTTGAACCCAGCCCGGGCCTGCTAAAACAACAATGATAACTGCAACAACAACAAAAATAGCCAGGCGTTGTGGCAGGTGCCTGTAGTCCCAGCTACTTGGGAGGCTGAGCAAGAGAATCGCTTAAGCTCAAGAGTTTGAGGTTGTTATGAGCTGTGATGCTACAGCACTCTACTAAAGGTGACATAGTGAGACTCAAAAAAAAAGAAATAGAATTGCTAAATCATACAGTAATTCTATTTTTAATTTTTTGAGGGAGCACCATACTTTTTTCTAAAGTGGTTATACCATTTTTTGTTTCTACCAACAAACTTTTTTTTGAGATGGGGCCTTGCTAAGTTACTCAGATAGATTTTGAACTCTTGGGCTCAAGCAATCGTTTCCTCAGCCTTGCAGATAGCTGGGATTAGAGGCGTGTACCACTGTGCTTGGCTTTATAGTACTTTATGTATCAGTAGGTTGTATTTCTCTAGGAATTTGTTTCATCAAACTGTCAAATTTATTGGCACAGTGTTTGTAATGTCTTTGGTATGTACAGTGATAATTTTTTTCACTTCTGACTTTGGTTATTTTGTTTATTTAAACATTTTTACTTTTTTTTTTTGAGACAGTTTTACTGTGTCACTCTCGGTAGAGTGCTGTAGCATCAAACCTCAAACTTTTTTTTTTTGAGACAGAATTTCACTTTGTTGCCCTCGGTTAGAGTGCTGTGGCATCACAGCTCACAGCAACCTCAAACTCTTGGGCCCACGTGATTCTTCTGCCTCACCCTCCCATGCAGCTGGGACCACAGGTGCCCACCACAACACCTGGCTATTTTTTGTTGCAGTTGTCATTATTGTTTAGCTGGCCCAGACTAGGTTGGAACCTGCCACCCCTCAGTGCATGTGGCCAGCACCGTAACCACTGTGCTACGGCCATCAAGCCTAAACCTCAAACTCTTGGGCCAGCCACTCTTCAGGCCGTCAAGCCTAAACCTCAAATGATTCTTTTGCCTCAGCCTCCCATGTAGCTGGGACTACAGGCACCTGCTACAACACCTGGCTATTTTGTTGTTGTTGTTGCAGTTGTCATGTTGTTTAGCTGGCCCAGACTGGGTTTGCACCCACCAGCCTTGGTGCATAGGGCCGATGTTGTAACCACTGCGCTACCCTCTTTTCCTTCTTTTTAAAAAATCAGTGTTGCCTAGAGTTCATCGATTCTATCTTTTCAAATAATCAGTTTTATGCTTTGTTAATCCTGTTTATTATGTATTAGTTTTAATTTTTTTTTCATATTTGCTCTTTATTTTCTCCTTCTACTTGCCTTGAGTTTACATTGCTCTTGGGGTCATACCCTTCAAATCTGACTTTGTGGTTGTTGTTGTTGTTGTTTTGTGAGAGAGTCTCACTTTGTTACCCCTAATAGAGTGTTGTGACATCATATTCACAGCAACCTCAGACTCCTGGGCTCAAACAATTCACTTGCCTCAGCTTCCCAAGTAGCTGGGATTACAGGCACCCACCACAGGCCTGGCTATTTTTAGAGGCGAGGTCTTGCTCTAGCTCAGGCTGGTCTCAAACTCATGAGCTCAGGCAATCTACCTGCCTCACCTTGAGCTCAGGCAATCCACCTGCCTTGGCCTCCCAGAGTGCTGGGATTACAGGCATGAGCCACACCATGCCTGGCCCTTCAGGTCTGACTTATGTTTGCACGTGCTCACCTGGGTTTGTGTGCTTGTTCTCCCTTCTTGTTACTCCTTCCAGAAGAATTTTTCAGTGGCATACAGTTTAAGGAAGTTGATGAGTTAGGAATGATACCATCTTTCAGCAGTAGGCTTTAGCCATTATCCTCTGCATATACAATTCTGACATAACTCTGGTTGACAAGATTTTCAAATGCAGCATGTAACAGTGTGACTTTTTATTTCCTTTCCCTGGCAGGACCTGTTGGGGCCCAGCCCCTACTCATGGTGCCCAGAAGACCTGGCTATGGCACCATGGGCAAACCCATTAAACTGCTGGCTAACTGTTTTCAAGTTGAAATCCCAAAGATTGACGTCTACCTCTATGAGGTAGATATTAAACCAGACAAGTGTCCTAGGAGAGTGAATAGGTAAGAATCATGAAACTTTGGAGATCTTTTGCTATTTGTCTTGCTTTAGTAATTTTATGTTTATCCTGTATATCTAAATAATAATGATAATATGTAACAGTTTGACCAAAACACATAGTAATATGTTTTGAAATTGATTGTATTTCAGAGGTGTGAAGTGGGAAAAATCTGCAGACCACCTTGAAATGATTCTGTTATAACATGAGCTCACATGTATTACCTGTGATAGTAGAACAGGTCCAAGTCCTTTTTACTTGTCTTTGAAATCAGGCTTAACATTCTGATCACATCTTTTTTCTTCCTAGTATGTCATACATTTGTGCTTTTTTTCCCCACCCCACATTACCACTTTAGTAATATTCCCTTTTGTGATGGGATAGAAATGGTAGTTTTGTGATGGTGGATAGAAATGGTAGTTTCATGCTTTCTCTTCCATCCTCAATTTTTGACTGTTCCTTACTCTTATATAGGAATAAATACATATGGTGTATAAAGATATATCTGTCTGCTTTAGTAAACTGTTTCACCATATACAGTAAACCCTCTGTAAGTTGACCACCCAAGAGACTCTAACAAACTGATCAACATAACAGATGGCCAACATAAGGAAGTAGGCCTCCTGTGTTGATACATACATATATATGGTATACAATCTGGTCTGTGAACATTAGGAGGTAATCAGTATAGGGAGAGGTGTGTTCACTATGGACGTTCTACTATATATTCCTGATTATGTTTAGGTAATGCAAGGAATATAAAAGGAATTTATGATGTGATATATGCCATGTGCCATGTCTTTTTGATTATTTTTTGCAGTTTTTGACCGGGGCTGGGTTTGAGCCCACCACATCCGGCATATGGGGCCAGCGCCCGACTACTTTGAACCACAGGTGCTTCCCTTTTTTTTTTTAAGGCAAAACATTTAGAAAATAATATGATATGATATTTAACTTAGCATTTTGGTTTGTACTAGCCCAGCCTTTTCTTATTCAGTAAGTGTTGTTAAGGCCTATGTTTAGAACATAGGCAGTTCTTATTGACAGATTTTTAATTTGGTAGAGGAAATAAGACATGTAAGAAATATGAAAGTCTGGTTATCTTTTTCTTGGGTTTGTAATCTTAATTGTTAGTATTTCTGTTACACATGAAAGTACATGAGAACGAAGAGACTTTGTGTCTTAAGGAACCTCTTAAGAAGTCAGCTAATCCAATACCCTTTTTAAAATAGCCAAAATCCATAAAAGTTAAGGGACTTATTCAAGAACACATGTTTCTAGTAGCAAAGGTGAAACCAGAACCCCAGAATTCTGATATGATAATCGCTAGGAAATATTTTTTTAACAAAAGAATAAAAAGAATTCAGTTAATTGAAAATAAGTGGTAGAATTTGGTAGCTGTGGTAAGCAGAACAGCTTTTTTAAGGAGGGGCAGCAATAACAAAAGTAGAATTCAGAAGAACCAGATATATTTACCCTGAGCCAGGCTTAAGGGGAAGGTTCTGGTCAGGTACTACCTTAGGCTACCATCTATGAATAGATGACTCCTAATCTTGATATAGTTGTTTCCTAAACTTTAGACTGACACCTCAGTATCCCTAGTACTTCAGTCACAAGTTGAAATAACTCTTTTTCTCAATCCCCATCCCCATATTCTGCTCCATCCCCATATTCTGCTCATAGTACTGTATTCTTTTTCTTCTTTTTCTCTCTCTCTCTTTCTTTTTTGGACAGAGCCTCACTCTTACCACCCTGGGTAGAGTGCTGGTGAGGTGTCAGCCTAGCTCACTTTTGGGCTCAAGGAATCTTCCTGACTCAGCCTCCCAAGTAGCTAGCTGGGACTACAGGCACCTGACACAACACCTGGCTAATTTTTCTATTTTTAGTAGAGACAAGGGTCTCTCTTTTGCTCAGGTTTGTCTTGAATTCCTGAGCTCAAGTGATCCTCCTACCTCAGCCTCCCAGAGTGCTAGGATTATAGGCATGAGCTACTGCGCCAGCCCCTTTTTCTTTATTTAAACTCCCAAACTAGACCTTCCATTTCTTTTTCCTCCTATTGGTTGTCAAGTACTGTCACTTTCCATCCACACCACTACCACTTTGGTTTTGCACCCTTATTTCTTATCTAGATTATTATAACAATCTTCTAATTGGTCTCCCCTAACATCTATTTCTTTCCATTATAGTTAATTATCCACACTTTAGGCATAGTTTTCTTTCTAAATGAGAAATCTGATTATGTCACTTCCCTGCTTTAAAAATTTGGGTGGCGCCTGTGGCTCAAAGCAGTAGGGTGTTGGCCCAGTCTGCCGGAGGTAGTGGGTTCAAACCCAGCCCCAGCCAAAAAAAAAAAAAAAAAAAAA